CCTGCCTCTGCCTCTCCAGTACTGGGAATAAGGGTGTGAGACACAACACCTGCCCAGCACCTTGTCTACTTTAAGAGTTAGAAACAAGTAAAGCTATGACTTTCTGCTAATACGTCAGTGGTTCCCACTATCTCTCTCCTATGAGGTAATCTAGTCTTGCCTCTACTCCAGCTGTCTTCTTCCAGGCACCCTGAACCCGTGAACAGAGCCTTTCACCCGTGAAAGTGCATCATATCACAATACCAAGCATGTGGGACACTGGACACAGAGGTGACCTTGCCAGGCTGCTGCCTGCATCCCTGCTTCAACACTTGTCTCAATCCCTACCTCCAGCCCCCCATTGCCAGGCAGAACTCCTACAGCTCTTGGAAAAGTCTTCACAAGTGCAGTTCTCTTTCCGGGAAGCTCCTTCCTTACGCTAGTGCCGCCCATCTAAGACTCACCTGATTCCACTGCCTGAGGAAAGAAGACCAAGCGCAGAGTGTTTGTGCTGCCTTCTCCATTTAGAACCCTACACAGCCACCTTACAGCCGAGAGGAATCCAGGACACACAACAGCTGCATGCTCTGGAGGCTACGCTTTGAAGACCATGCTTCCTGGGCATGAATCTTAGCTCTGCCAGCTCTGCGTCTAGACGTATCTGTCAATTTCCTGGAGCCTCAGTGTTCTCATATGCAAAGTGTGGTGATATTTTCTTTGTATGTTAATAAATAAAGTTTGTCTGGAGATCAGAGGACATATAGTCATCCATTTTTAAGTAAAAATACAAATCAGGCAGTAGTAGCACATGCCCTTAATCTGATCATGTGGCAGGCACGGTCTGTGTTTAAGGGAACAGCCAAGCATGGTGACACACGCCTTTAATCCCAGTACCAACCATAGAGACTGGGAGGTCTGTACAGACAGGCAATAACAAAGTGAGGTAGCTGGGCTAAGAGCCAACGAGAGGACAGAACATGGCAATAAAAGCCTGAGTAGACAGGATGTAGCTCGCTTGGGAAGCTACGGGCGTGGTGAGTTAAGGCTAATTGGTGTCTCTCACTATCTCCCTGATCTTTAAGGCTTTTATCCCTATATTTGGCTCTGTGTTTCTTATTTAATAAGACTTGTGCTAAAACAAGCATCTGCTCCACAGGGCTGTTAAAGGTGGATATACATGAGTTCGAGGCATCCTGGTCTACATACTGAGTTCCAGACTGGCCAGGGCTAGTGAGACTCTGTTAAATAAATAGATAGATAGATAGATAGATAGATAGATAGATAGATAGATAGATAGATAAAGTATATAAATAATATATGAGGCTGTGAGGGCCTGACACGTAACAACCTGTATCACAAGGTCTAGTACTAGGACCCCAATCTGCCCAACCCTTCTCCGACATGGTCTTTTAGTTACTCAGTGCCTCAATGCTGGCTCTGTATCAGTCCAACCTGGACCACATTAACTGTTTGTATGTGTCTTCACTCACCTAGTCAACTCAGTATTCTTTAGGGCCCTGTTCTTTTTTGTTTTAATGGTACTGGGGACTGAACTAGGACCCTGTGCATGCCCATTTTACTGTATGAGATGGTACAAGTTGCCCAGGCAGGCTGAAGAAGCCAGACTTTGAACTTCCCGCTTCAGCCTCCCAACAACTAATAAATAAACTTTCTTCAAATGTCAAGTATGGGGAATGAAGTGACTGAATGAGACTAGGGCCTTTCCCCATGGCAATTACCTTCTAAAAGAGAGTCAAACAATATCCAAGTAAATGATCTTCACCAGTTCTTAACCAGTTCAGATCACAAACATTATGTAAAAAATGGAACAGGAAGCCAGCTGTCATGGCACAGACTTTAATCCCAGTGCTCAGGAGACTGAGGCAAGAGATCAAGGCCAGCCAACCACTGTGAGTTAAAAAAAAAGGTTAACATGGGCTGTGTAGCAGGGCTCTGGCTGAATATAAAGAAAAAACGAAATGAGGGTCGTGTGTCAGCATGAACCCGGGGTATCCTTTGAGCTGAGGTGTGAGCGGTAAGCAGCCAGGGAAAGGGAGTCAGCATGGGCCCTGACGTGACCATGAACGTGGTGAGTATAACCAGCAGGCCAAACCAGCATTACCAGGCTAAAATGGAGAGAAAGCGGCACACGAGGAGGGGCTCACACAACCAGAGCCACACAGGCCAACAGGATGGGCTGAGCATGGCGAAGAGCAGGAACGAATGAGCTTGGAGCAGACCAGAGACATGATCACCGTATCTTATGTTCTACACTCACTACCAAAGTAGAAACCTGGTTAAACATACTCCCACATGCGATACCAAAGTGGAAGGGGTACTGGGGTAGGAGGGTATACCTGGAGATGGGGGACACAATCAGAGGAGAGCCAACCAAAGTGAAGTATGAAAATGCCATAAAGAAACCTGCTACTCCGTAAGTTAATTAAAACCAATAAAAATGGAAATGCTCCTATGTACTTCCCTCCTATATAAAGGACCAGACGGTGATGAGGCTAGAAGGAACTATTTAAAATTGAACTGGAGGAGAGTAACAGAGTTCTTGTCATTTTCATTTCAATCTTAAATGCTAAAGCCCCTTCCATGAAAGAAAACCTCTAAGGAAAGAAAATCCTTTGGGTTTTTTGTTTTTTTGAGACAGGGTTTCTCTGTGTAACAGCTCTGACTACCCTGAAACTCACTTTGTAGACCTGGCTGGCCATGAACTCAGAGATCTGCCTGCCTCTGCCTCCCAAGTACTGGGATGAAAGGCGTGCACCACCACCACCGCCCGGCATCCTTTGGGTCTTTAGTGGAAATGTTCTATACATTAAAGTCTTATAATGTGGTAACATATAAAAGGCTTGTGCATACAGGTAAAATGCTCATTTTCGAGACATGAAATGTGGTAACTTTTATTTGTATCTTGACATGTAAATTATCAGATTTTCAAGATCTGTTTGTGGGGTGTGTGTGTATGACTGTGTGCCTCTGTAGGAATGCCTGCCCGGCCAGGGGGTGACTGATCTCCTGGGGCTAGAGTTATAGGTGTTTGTGAGCTGCCTAATGTGGATGCTGGGGACCAAACTCCAATGCTCTAGAAGAGCAGGAAGCGCTCTTAACTGCTAATCCATCTCTCCAGCCTCAGATTTTATTTTTCTATAATTTAACCTCACCTTCTTCATTAGGGGACTAGAATATTTTGAGACACATTTCTGATGCAAAAATTTAAATGCAGAAAATTTATAGCTAAAATTATTATATCATTATTAACTTATTTGTAAGTTGCAATAAATATATTTGCAATAGTTAAATGCAAAAAACGAAACAAAGAAAGCCTTGGTTGGTTTTGCTGTTGACTTGATATACCTGGGGAGAGCTACAATTGAAGAATTGTCTGTGGGGATGTCTGTGTTGTTGTAGAAGGGGCCTAGCCCACTATCGTGAAGTCACCCTTGGGCAAGTGCTCCTGGGCTGAGAAAGAAGACTATCCGAGGACCTGGAGATGGCTCAGCAGTTTAAGAGCACTTCCTGCTCTTTTGGAAGACCCAGCACTCACAGTCGGCTGTAATTCCAATTCCAGGGGATACTATGTCCTCTCTGGCCTCTGTGGACACTGCATATGCAGGGTGTACTTACATAAACGCAGACAAACACTCATACACATAAAATAATAAATAAAATCTCAAAGAGAAAGCAAGCTAGCTAGCAGTGCGTGAGCCTGGGAGGGAGACAGAAAGCCAGTAAGCAGCTTTCCTTCCTTGTTCCTGCCTCTGCTCCTGCTTGGGTTCCTACCGATTTCCCTCAATGATGGATTGTGACCTGGAAGGGTAAACCAAACAAACCCTTTCCTTCCCAAGTTGCTTTTGAGTCATGGTATTTTACCATAGCAACAGGAGGCAAACAGTTCTATGAAGAAGTCTTCCTGGACGCCGGGCGGTGGTGGCGCACGCCTTTAATCCCTGCACTCGGGAGGCAGAGGCAGGTGGATCTCTGTTAGGTCGAGGCCAGCCTGGGCTACAGAGTGAGTTCCAGGACAGGTTCCAAAGCTACACAAAGAAACTCTGTCTTGAAAAACCAAAAAAACAAAAAGTCTTTCTGGATCCGCCGGTTACGCTAGGAATCACTGCAGTGGACATCTGTCATCCTCCTGTACTTGGCTGTCACTATACTCACCAGTCAATCTATTCACCTGCTTAACGTCTACATTCCCCGCTGGACTGAGTTCAACCAAAGTAGGATTGAAGTTTTGCTTCCTCCCATATTGTGCTCACATAGTGTATGCTGCATCAAGCACGTTACACGGAGGAGCTGTTCTTCCTGCCTGTACTCGTCCCTCGGTGGGGGTTCCTGAGGGCGAGGAACACATCTGACTAGGTACGCCGGCCCCACTTCAGAACCCAAAGCTCCCTCTTCCAGGTACTCACGGGCAAACAGGGAGATATCAGTGATCGGTCACAGGCCCGGGCGGAGCTGAAGGTACGCCGTGAAACCCCTGCCATACGCAAACGCACGGACTCACGTGACACGAATCGGCCCACAGAGACAGCCTTTATTACAAACTGCAAGCTCCACGGTCGGCGTTCCTGACTGCCGGAGTTCAAGGGGAAGGGTTTCCGGGGGGGGGCTGCCATGCCAGGCTTGGCTCCCATATGCTCGGGGGCGCTCGGAGCGTCACGCCTCTGACAAACACTTCACGCACATCACCGCACTCAGCTGTCACTCACACGGGAAGAGGCTCCGGAGGCCCGCCTGTCAGTCACACCGCGGGGTCCCCACCTTCCCCCCACCCCCGACCTGCAGCCTCGCCACCACAAGGGAAGAAGCACAGCCCTCGCACGCACCTTCCATGCGGTCCACAGGTAGACCTCAACACGCCGCTCCAAAGCCCCGCCCTCAGACCGAGGAAGTGGCGTCACTTCCGCTCCACCGGTCCGCCGACACTTGTGGCTCGGCCGCTCTAGCTCTCCGCGGAGGCGCGGCTGCTCGCTGAGGCCCAACCCGTTGCCCAGGCAACAGGGCTCCCGGCAGCCCCCGCGGCCCGGAGTCCATCCCGCCTCCTCCGGGCTGGCGGGGCTGAGGAGTCCTGAGGGGCTGCCGCGGGAGGTGAGTCCGGGGGCGCGCCGGCGGGTCCCTGGTGTCTCCGATGTCCCCGACTTTGGCCCCGCGCCTTTCGTGCTCCTGGCCGAGCCGCCCTTCCCAGTCTCAGCCCGTCGGAGTCTCCATAGCCGCGTCGCCGTCCCACGGGCAGCCACCGCACGCGGCGCGTCTGTCACAGCCCGCGTCCGTGCAGGGCACCCGGCATCGCAGCGTTCACTTACCGCCCGGGGCCGCCGCGGCGCCCCAGCTCCCCTTGCTCCTCCCCTCCGGCCCCACCCTACATCCCTCTTGCGGCGGGCTCCAGGCTCCTGAGCCTGGCGATTGACGTTTCCTTCTGTTCTGTCCCCCGACCCCGCCGCAGGAACCCTCACGTTCGCCTACCAGCCAGCGCCAAGCAGCTGGCTTGGGCACCCATTAGGAGTTGAGTAAGTGTTGGTTAAATGCATAAGCGAATACCTCCCGGTTAATAGGGACTGAGTGGCCTCGGAGGCGGAATGGGCAGTGAGGGTTAAAGAATGGGGTGACCCCGGGATCAGACCTCTGGTCAGGTCACTGTACTTCCCCTTCCTACCCGTTTGCTGGAGCCAGTGTCAACTTCCCAGCTTCAGTTTCGTCATCCGTAAAATGGAGGTGCTAAGTTTTTATGTTGGGGTGATGGAGGATTAAATGGGTCAGTGCATATACAGTTAAGTACAAAGTCTGGCCGAATAATCTCAATAAAGGATAGTTTGTCTCTGTTGTCACCCACACGGCTCTGCTGGCTTCGCAGCTTTTTCCTCTTGTCCCTCCTTAAGTCTGGCTTCCCATTACTGACGTTCCGTTTCTCCACTTTACCTCTTTTTCCTGCCCTTTGTGCTTCCTCTCTTTCTCACTTATATTCGGGGATTTTTCTGTTCCATTTGTTGACAGAATGTGAGGTGTATCGTTGTGCATTGACTGCAAAGATCATTTTTAAAAACTTTTGAAAAGGGGGCTGTGGGAAAGCCAGGTCCCAGGTATGAAGTTGCTCTAGTTCGCTTTCACCAGAGAGTCTGTCTTCTCAGCTGCCGCCGTGTTTGCACCTTCTCCCATCCAGCTGTAATGCTGACACACACTGTGACCATTTTGTTTGTTTTTGTGACCTGTCTTACAGCCCATGTTTGTTCACTCCCGGTGTGTGCCAGGGTCCACCTGTGCCAGCTGCTGTGCCCGGCCTTAGGGATGTGTGGCTGACTCTTCACACCCAGTCACTGCCCTCAGCCTGGAGCTTGAGATTTCAAACCTGAGAATCCCGTCTGATTTTCAGGGTGGGCTTGGGAATCAGGGATGGGGAGGATGAAATAAAGCAGTCCTCTCTCGGGTCATTTTTTTCCCTTAAGTTTAAAAACTTATTGTATGTGTGTGGGTGTTTTGCCCGAACATATGCCAGTGCACCACATGTGTGCGGTGCCTGCAGAGGTCAGGAGAAGGCATCAACTCCCCCTCCCCCCAGAACTGAAGGGAGCTGCCATGTGGGTGCTGGGAATTGAACCCTGGTCCTCTGGAAGAGCAGCCTTGTTCTTAAGGGCTGAGCTACCTCTCCAGCTCCAAGCCAATTTGTTTTGATGTAGCCACATAGTCTTTTTCAATGGAAGACTGTTGTTTTGTTTGTTTGTTTTGGTTTTTGGTTTTTCGAGACAGGGTTTCTCTGTGTAGTTTTGGTGCCTGTCCCGGATCTCGCTCTGTAGACCAGGCTGGCCTCAAACTCACAGAGATCCGCCTGGCTCTGCCTCCTGAGTGCTGAGATTAAAGGTGTGCACCACCACCCAGTGGAAGACTGCTTTTTATTGGGCTTGTTTTCAGATTTTTCTTAGGAAGTTATCCTTTGGGTTGAGGAGGATCCCATTTCAGAGTAGCCTCTATAATTTGAACTAAATGGCTGCTGGAACTTAATGGGGGAAAAGGAAGGAAGCAGACAGCAACAGTTGATTGAATTTGGAAAGGTGAAGAATGGACGGATTAGGAGGTGGTTATACAAATAATAAAAATAGGCTTTGGGGTCAAGCTTGGAGAATTCGGCCACTGTTGACACAAGAGGGAACTTGGGAGAATCAGGAGACAGTGGTGTTTTGTTTTGTTTTGTTTTGTTTTGTTTTGTATGAATTATGTAGATAGAAGCAAGTTCAGAATGTATGTTTCTTTCCCATGGATGTATGCTTTGGATCTGGTCATGAAAGTTCCAGTGAATCTTTGCTACAGTCTTGGGGCATTGTGGCAGGTTTTTTTTGTTTTTGTTTGTTTGTTTGTTTTGTTCTGGGGACAGGATCTCACTATAAAGCCCAGACTATCCACAGACTTGTCCTCCTGCCTCAGCCTCCTGAGTGCTTAATAATAGGTATGGACCACCATACCTGGCTCAGCACGGGGTTTTTTGAGAGAGAGATTAACCCAACAAATGTGAGTAAAGTGTTGACTGTACTGTACTCTATTAGTTGTTTGTGTTTTTGTTTTAGTTTGTTGGTTGGGGGTGGAAGTTGGCAGAATCTGGCTGTGTAAACTTTGATTGGTTTGTGAACTGTCAGTGTAGATCAAGCTGGCCTTGAATTTATGGCAATCGTCCTTCCTCTACCTCCATGTGCTGGGATTACAAGCTCATTTAGGGGGCCAGCATGATGCCTCATGGGGTAAGGGCACTTGCCTTGCAAACCTCGTGACTTGAGTTCAATTCCTGCAACCCTTGTAAAGGCAGACAGAGAACTGACTCCATAATGTTGTCCTCTGGCTTCCACACATAAACCATGGTACAAACACACCTATATATGTATCCCCCCCCCACACACACACAGAGACTCACACACAAGTAACAAATAAATAAAAATTTAAAGTTTGCAACTAGAGCAGAAAATGGAGATGGAGATGAAGTTAGATATAGAGCTTTCTTCAGATGTCCAGTTTCAATGCTTGGGTCGGGCTTAACCTACGAAAAATTGGTTAGCCAGCAGGGACAGAAGCAGGGAAGTAACAGCATTTCATCTGTAAGATGAATTATTCCCTGCCCCTTTGAATTCTACCATAAAATGTTAACACTTCATCAACTGGCCATGGCGGTGTATGCTTGTATTCCCGGCAGACATGAAGCTAAGCTAGATGACCTTGGTAGTTCTAGGCCAGCCAAAGCTATGGTGTGAGACTCTCACAATAAATGAATAACTTAAAAGCCAAAATAAAGATGGATTATAAGTGCCAGGTGTGGTTATGCCAAATGATCTTAGCAGATTGTATTTACAAGCTTACACACACACACACACACACACACACACACACACACACACACACACACACATATGTAACAATTATAATTAAAGAGTAAGAAGCCCAGGCAGTGGTGGCGCATACCTTTAATCCCAGCACTCAGGAGGCAGAGGCAGGTGGATCTCTGTGAGTTTGAAGCCAGCCTGGTCTACAGAGCGAGTTCCAGGACAGCCAGAGCTACACAGAGAAACCCTTTCTCGAGAAAACAAAACAAAAAACCTACAAAGAATAAGAAGCCATGGGAGCAAAAAAGCTAGGCATGGAGGTCCATCCTGTAATCTTAGCACTTGGAAGATGTTTGAGGACCATGGGCTAGTGAGACTGTCTTAAAAAAAAAAACTGTATAGGAATACTAATTGTTACTTTGTATTGAGTTTAGAGAAGGTCCTTGAGACAGTGCTATCAGAGCCTCTGGTGACATATGACAATTGTACTGCTGGGTGCCTAATTTGGGTTCTGGGTTACTCCTCGCTCTAGTTTCTGGAAATGCTCATTAAAATGATGGTTGAGCCGGGCGGTGGTGGCGCACGCCTTTAATCCCAGCACTCGGGAGGCAGAGGCAGGCGGATCTCTGTGAGTTCGAGGCCAGCCCGGGCTACCAAGTGAGTTCCAGGAAAGGCGCAAAGCTACACAGAGAAACCCTGTTTCAAAAAAAAAAAAAAAAAAAAAAATGATGGTTGAATAACCCGCCTTCCATGTTTATGGCATTGATGGGGGATGGGGAGAAAAAAATTATGACTTTCTTTAAAAACAGTTTTACTCTGTGTGTGTATCTGTTTTGTGTATTCCACCTGTATGTGGTTGCCTATGGAGGCCAGGAGAGGGTATTAGATCCCCTGGAGCTAGAGTTACAAGACATTGTGAGCCACTTGAAGTGGGTACTTGAACTCAGGTCCTCTGGAAGAGCAGCAAGCACTCTCAACCACTGATCTGTCTCACTAGCCCATACTTTTTAACTTCGCTTTTGCATTTTAAACTGAAATTCTCATAGCCAAGGAAGCATTGCTTATATATTTTTAATTCGTTTTTATATGCATTATATGTACCTGCTTGTCTGTATGTGTACCATGTACATGTAGTGCCTGAAGAGGCCAAAGAAGGCATCAGACCCCTTGGCACTGGAGTTAGCAGGTAGTTGTGTGCTGCCATGTGGGTGGGTGGGTGCTGAGAACCAAATCCAGGTCCTCTGGGAGAGCAACAAGTGCTCTCACCTGCTGAGCCATCTCTCCAGCCCTGACATTATTTATCTTAAAGACTGGAATAAAAAATCACAGTGGTAGGCCTCTTTTCTAGTAAGAATGAGGGCCTTGTGTTTGATATCAAGCAGAGAAAAAAACAGAGGCAGAGGCAGGCGGATCTCTATGAGTTCGAGGCCAGCCTGGTCTACAGGGGGAGATCCAGGACAGGTTCCAAAACTACACGGAGAAACCCTGTCTCAAAACAAACAAACAAACAAAACCAACCAATCAAATCAATAAGACTAGAAGTTAACATTTTATTTATTCATTCAACAAATATTTATAGGCATCTATGCTGTGCTAAAGGAAGACTGGCATTCCTTCTCATGGAAGAGGTTCATTAGCAAGTGAAGAATCAGAGGTTGTATTGAGGATTATTATGAAGGGCATGTGGATGGAAAGGGAGCTTTGATATTCATAAGTGATCTGGTCTGGGAATACCTTCTTGTAGTGATAATGTTTCGGCTGAGCCCCCAGAGATGAAAGGGAGCCACATCTGTGGAAGGAGATCATTCTGAGTAGAGGGGATGGTGGATTATGAAGGCTGAGTGGGGAGAAGGGGTCCTTGGTGTTAGTGCTTGGAGAATAAGTGGAGGTGAGCAAGAGGGAGGAAGTGAGGATTAGTAAGCACCAGGGTTTCAACCTGGACAGCACTTGATTCAGTCTGGCTTGGTGCTGCCTACCTCAGAACTGTGGCCATTTTCAGTAAGCTAATTTTGGTAGTGCTATCACACCACCAGATCACAGGTGTGTGCCACTGTACCTGGCTTATATTCCTAACCATTTTCAGATGGGCAAATGGCAACCTAGAGCCATTAAATAATTTCCCCTGGGTCCCACAGCTAATCTTAAAATACATTGAGATTCCAGCCCCAGTCCTTTTCCCCTCTGATGTCACTAGCCAGTCAGTGTGCTGCTGTTTTTCTACAGCAGGAAGTCTCAGTTTAATTATGGCGGTGGGTCTGAACCTGAGGTAGGGCAAAATGTGCCTTTAGGCTTGTGTGAAAATTGGGCAGGGTTGGAATGCAAAAACACTAGTCAGAAGTGTTCATTGAGTCTGAATAGTTTTCATCAAACGTATCACAGGACAGGGAGGCAGTAGCTCTTGATTTCTTCCAAGCCCACCCAACATGCCTTCTGCTGTTGGCCAGCTTTGTCAGAGTGAGCTTCAGCCCATTTCCCATCTGCCTGTTAGGTGAAGGCACAGACCTGGTGCTGAGTTCTCCCAGAACCCCACCTAAAGAGATTCAGTGAGCCTTCTGGCTCTCTTGGGTTCTGTGACTTACTGACCTCAGAAAGTCCTTCGGAGAAACATGTTTAAAGCATAAATCATTACGATAGCTGTGGAGGACAGTTTGGCAATGCATTTTAAAGTTTCAATATTTTCACTTCTTGGAGCTCCAGTTAATATCACTAATTCACTTCCACTGGACCAGCCTTTTCCCTCCTTTTGAAATATTCCCAAGGGTCTGGATAAATGGCTTAGTGGTCAAGAGCACTTGTTTCTCTTGCAGAAGACCTGAGTGAACTTGTTAACCGAGGTGCTGGTGAGTGTAGAGTATCTTGACTTGTTAACCGAGGTGCTGGTGAGTGTAGAGTATCTTG